TTCTCAAAGCTTCCCAAACTCCTGCATGCTTAAAATTCTGATACCCATTAATTAATTACTGCAGGCAAAAGGATAAATCTTCTGAAATACAGTTTCCTGTTACTGCATATGTTCTTGACTGCAGCGGCATTGCACCAAGACCCCCAGGGCTCTCAGATGTGTTTTTGGTTGCATTTGCTCACAAGATAAATTATTGCTGCTGCTGTTCTGGTATGGAATGCATTGCTCCTTACCTGTTACTTCTGTAAGCAAAAACTGCAGGCATGTACAGATTATTATTTTAAGTTTATTAGCAAAATTAAATATAGTTTTAAAAAGATAATTACTGGATGTTTTAAAAGAGAAGGCTTTTTAGGACAAGCCATCAGCACGCACAGAACTATTGTTTTGACTTCCCATTTCATATAAATCATTCCCCTCCCTTCCAATCAATGCTGTCCGTTTCGGAGACTTCTCCAGCATGCTTATCTCAAGTTGCTGCCAAGTGTGACCTCGCCCTGGCCTAGAAAACATGGAGGGAGTGCTGACCAGCTGGTGTCATGAAGCGTCGCCCTGCCCCACTCATATTTCACGCAAGGCATGAAAAGGGCAGGGTAACGGGAATGAAAGCCGCTCATCTGTAGGTCACCAGCTCCTTCGCCCGACATTCTGTTCAGCAGCAGAAGCGTCAACAAGAATTTACTTGGAACGCATGAACTCTGAAAGCTTGAAAGGGCTTCTGGACTTGACCCAGCACCTTATGGAAAGGCTCAGGGGTGGGGAACCTTTTGCAGACCAAAGGCCACATTCCCTTCTGAGCACTGCAACATGCCCATGGTGGGAGGGGCTGGAGGTAAAAGTTGGTGGAACAGGAAATGCAAATGTTAGCCTTGTGCTGTAGGGCTAGCCATCCAGGCAAGCAAGAGGCATGATCAGAGTTCAAGGGCACATGCCAGCCAGGCGAAAGCACATGGGGTGCAAAGCAAGACTACCAAGGGGCATGACCAAGAAGACTGTGGGGGGCAGACACAGAGCTCTGGAGGTTCCCCACCATGGGGAAAGATGCTCCCTTTTGATATGGCTCCTCCTTTCCCTTGCTGCTGGTACCCATTCACCTGAGATACGCTTTACCTGAGAAGGAGCGTCAACTGTTGCATGTTTCTCCCTCTCCTTCTGGAGATGGTGTGGATTGGGCCAAGAGGGAGAGGCAAGTGAATGGGCAGCTGCTACCACATACTTCTCCAAAGCATCCTTAATGGGTGAGGCAACCATTGGGGTTGTGTTTTAATAACGTATGGCAATTACAATTCCTCTCGGAGACTGAGGGGCTCAGTTGCTAACCACTAGGTCTTACTGTACCAGGTTTGCCCAGCTCCAAAATGGCAATTGTCCTGCTTTTTCCTTTTTTACCTTACACCAGTGGTTCCCAATTAAGCTTTTGAAAATCTTGATATCTCTATTGTAGTTTTTGTTATGTGAATAGTGCCACAGACCCCCGGGTGGGTTTCATGGACCACCTGTGGTCTGTAGAGCACCAGTTGGCACAATTATCGTGTGCACACAAGAGACAGGGGCAGGTCTTTTGCAAAGGCAGAAAATGCACCTTGCTACTTCCAAGACACACAAGTTGTTTGTTTATGTTGTTTTATGGCTGGGGAAGAACAAAGGAAGAAGAGCTTGCTTTGCTAAATGTTCTGTTCTCTGACCCACCGAGAGAGACATTTGGCCTCAGGTGAGAGGCAAGCCTGTGTGCACATCCCTGTCTTGTTTAGACATGCAAGATCTCCATCACCAGCACTGCAGGAGAAAAAACGCTTATTGTTTTACATGTTTACAAACAGCCCTTTCAGATCTCTGTCCCCTGAGGAGGCGTGCATTGTAATAAATTCACAGTTCGCATGATGATGATTTAAACAGCTTTGGAGTGGCATGTTTTTAATGACTTGTTCCAATTTGTCTGCCTCTCCTGCCTGTCAACTCCCCCCGCTGGCAGGAAGCCTGTTCCTGTTGCATAAACATTTATCAGCCAGATGAAGGAGTTGCACTTTTTCGTTGTTTTGCTTTGTGGTTTGGGGAGGGGGGGGGAGGAGAGAGAGAGGGACAAATTAGCAGAGGTGTCATTTAATCTCAATGCCCAAGCCTGGTCAACACCCAGCCACCAGCGGAAACAGACTCTCACTGAATAAAGCAGGGGTTGCAGCTGAAACAATGCTTTTTTCTCCCTCTCTCGTATTGCAAAAACTCAATGAAGCCTCCTCATCCTGGAACTTTCTGGATTAAAAGTACAGTCGTACCTCGGAAGTTGAATGTCTTGTGACTCGAAACTTTTGGCTCCCAAATGCCACAACCCCGGAAGTTTGCAAATGTTCTTTGGAACCCAAACGTTCAACGCAGTTTCTGCAGCTTCTGATTGGCTGCAGGAGCTTCCTGCAGCCAACTGGAAGGTGCGCCCTCGTTTCTGAACGATTTAGGAGTCAAACGGACTTCCGAAATGGAATCCGTTCAACTTCCAAGGTATGACTGTACTTCTTCACACAGCAAAGAGCTAAACTGTGGAGTTGGCTCCCACCAAATGTAGTGATGACAACCAACTTGGAAGGCTTTGAAAGAGGATCAGAGAAATTCACGGAGGAGGAAAAAGCCATCAAGGGCTAACAGCCACAATAGTTCTGTTCTACATCTTCTGTTGGAAGCAGCATGCCTCTGAATGTCACTCACTGGGAATCACAAGTGGGAGAAGAGTACTCTTGTAATCGGTTCCTTTTTGTGGGCTTCCCATAGGCATCTGGTTGGCCACCGTGAAAATAGGACATTGGACTAGATGGGCCTTCAGCTTGACCCAGCAGGTTCCTTATGCTGCTTCGCCGTAGTATCCGCCATTGTGTGAAACTCAACTGTCTAAAGCTTTCGTTGACCCAGATGTTGTTTGACTACAGCTGTCATCAGCCAATATTTAGGGGTGATGTCAGTTGTGATCCAGTCACACCCGGAAGGGCCACAGGCCTGTGTTAGGTACCAGCACTGCAACTGTTGGTACCTGGGATTATTCCAGTATAGCCTAATACTAATCTCCTCTTCAGAGAAATGAAGAGGCTTCTGGAACTGTCAACGCAAGGCTGCCATTATACCAGCATTTGCTCCCTGCAAATCCTTAGCTGTATGCAAGTGAGTGATGGCAAGGGAGGGGAGGGTGGAGAATACTTTGCTCCTAATACAGCCTGCCTAGAAAGATGCAATTTAAAGAACCCAGACAAAACACTTCAATGCAGCTCAATCTAAACATTTTCCTAGCATACCACCCCCCAGCTCTTCAGAATGTTGTGAATAAAGAAAGGCGCCTAGCATTGCAGAATTTTTATACTCCTCACTAAACATTGTCACTATGCGGTACCAATAAAATGACTAATTGTGCTGCAGTAAACAGAGGATGGAGAGATAAAAGTAATTATAACTTGGCAAACAGGAATCCTCTTTAACTGGGGTTGCTAAATGAGGGCGCCATTGCTAAAGCTCAACTAGTTCTCACACCGCCCATAGGGAGCACCAAATTATCACCACCCATTCCGTTTTGACTATCCTTTCATCTACGTAGCTTGTAAATATGGCCCCTCCATTAATACCGGTTTGGCACTACCACTGACCGGGTCCTTCCTTGTTTATCCAGACTTCTGCATTTGACATTCCTATGTTGGAGAGGGAACTAATCTCTTGCTATCCAGGAAACACATGGCTGCAATAGCCTTGAGCATCCAACTTACATGCATGGGGGAAGAACAAGAGGTTTTTTGGTATTTTTGGAGCATCTGCTTATGCTGCTTAAGAAGCAAGCCGATTTACAGTATGCCTTTTCAGCAAGGTAAGGGCTATGGCGGGGACGCGGGTGGCGCTGTGGGTTAAACCACAGAGCCTAGGACTTGCCAATCAGAAGGTCGGCGGTTCGAATCCCCGCGACAGGGTGAGCTCCCATTGCTCGGTCCCTGCTCCTGCCAACCTAGCAGTTCGAAAGCACGTCAAAGTGCAAGTAGATAAATAGGTACCGCTCTGGCGGGAAGGTAAACGGCGTTTCCGTGTGCTGCTCTGGTTCGCCAGAAGCTGCTTAGTCTTGCTGGCCACATGACCCGGAAGCTGTACGCTGGCTCCCTCGGCCAATAAAGTGAGATGAGCGCCGCAACCCCAGAGTCGGTCATGACTGGACCTAATGGTCAGGGGTCCCTTTACCTTTACCTTTAAGGGCTATGGCAGAACCTTTAGAAAGGTGTACTTTTGTGCACTTTTGTAAAGAAAAATCGGTTTCATTAAAAGTCACTTAAGCAAAGATTAGATGTTCATCCTGGGCACAATGGCTATTTTCTACTTATGCTGTCACAGACAATAGCAGTGCTTTTTTTCTAGAAAAAGAGGTGACAGTACTCACCATTAAGTTGTTACAGTAAGTGCCATACTTTTTAACAACAGCAAAATGAGGTGCTGGTACTGCGCATCGTTGAGTACCCCCTGAAAAAAGCACTGGGCTTTTTAATTATCAGTTGCTGGGAATCACGAGTGGCTTGAGTGCTGTTGGGATAGCCTGACAATCTAGTTTCAAGAAGGAGAATTAATCTCCACAAGCCTACAAGGCTGTTCCTCAAGCTTTGGTCAAAGCACTTGACCAGCTACTTATGGAAAAGCTTGCGAAGAAGTGGCCACATCAATGAGAGATGCCTACCGCTAAGAGAAACTCTGAAATTGCAGCAATATGTCATGTGCCCTAAGAACAGAGCTTTGAAGGGAGCTGTTTTTCATGTGGGCATGGCCTCCATATAATGGGAGCTTTCTCTGTGACTGGGGTGCCTACTTGGTGCATGGGTCCAAACATGAGGCATCTTCAAACTGAAATCCTTCTCAGCTGTCTTTTTTGTGGGGACAAGAGGGACTGAGCCCTGGGAGTATTCAACTACAGGACTTCAGAGGTTGTGCTCAAAACTGTGTTGCATTTTTTACTGAGTCAACCAGCTAGAGCCAGGCATCGCCAAACTTGACCCTCCAGCTGTTTTGGGACTACAACGCCCATCATCCCTAGCTAACAGGACCAGTTATCAGGGATGATGGGAGTTGTAGTCCCAAAACAGCTGGAGGGCTGAGTTTGGCCATACCTGAGCTAGACCGAGTTCTTGGTTCTAAGCCCTGTTGGGTATGGGGAATATAAAGGCAATAAATAGGGAGTAGGCATTTGTAACTGGAGCAAAAAGCAGTATTGACAGAGAATTGTGCAGCTGGACCTCATCCAGGATGCCTGTACACTATGCATTAGGGAAGGGCAGTAGCTCAGTGGCAGAGCATCTGCTTTGCATGCTGAAGGTCCCAGGTTCAATCCCTGGCATCTCCAGCTAGGGCTGGGAGAGACTCTGTCTGAAATCTTGGAGAACTGCTTCATGCCCTTGTAGATAATACTGAGCTAGAGAAACCAACGGTCTGAACTCAGTATAAGACAGCTCCCTACAGATGGGTCTCTGATCTTGCATTTGTCCCATGTCTGACCATGTCTCCATTCATGCAATTAAGAGTTTCAAGGTATCTCACAATCTAGCCCAATCCTTTGCCACTGCAGAAAACCCACTATCACAGCATCCCCCTCCTTCCTTCCCCTTGTTCCCCCGCCCAAAGCTTGAGAGAATTCCACAAGAGACAGAAGCAGCTTCATCTTTGCTTTCCATCTCAGTTGCCCACCATTCTCCCCTTCCCTTTAGATTGCACAGCTGCACGTGGGACTGCAGAGGCCTTCTTGGAGCACCTACAAGACCTTCTCCCCTTTCTGAAATTAGGCTCGGAAGAAGAATTTTATTGTAGCCAGTAGAACAGCTTGCAGGGTGTATTTAGCTGCAGCGCAGGTTGTGACAATGAGAGTTTATCCAGTTTGCAGATGTTCCCACAGTCCCAAGAACGATGGCAACACGGGCTTCTGAGCCGCCTCATTCGCTCCACAAAGCTGTTTTATTCAAACTGAAGTTCTGTGTTGCCTATGCATCCACACCTGCATGTATCTACAGCAGGTCACCAGCACCTCCCTCAAAGGGACAACACTTTTAATTAAATGAGCGGCCAGGTGATACACCTAGTGCCAAGCTTAACATATGTTTTAGCTGATAAGCAGTGTTGTGTTGGCAGGGTACGAACACTGAATTCAGAGTTAAGATATGTGGGTTTTTTTCACCCTTCTCTTAACAGCAGACAACTAGTAAAGCAGAGAACATACTTCAGATTCCCCACATTGGTACTGCTTTCTGGCAGGCAAAAGGTCCAGACCGCTCCTTTCCCAAATTTTGTCCTGACACCAGTCCTTTTCAGACGTGTTAGGCTGGGATAGCTTTGAGCAACAGTGGAGTGTTAAAACCTACCTCAGGGGTTCAAATGTAGCTCGCTGTCATGCCCCACAGCAACCGTGTCCGGTCAGAGAGCCTGAGAGATATCAAAGTGACCCAGTAAGCTTCATGGCCTGGTGGGGTTTTTGAACCCTGGTCTGTCACACCCTGGCTGGACACTCTAACCGCGACACCACCCGGCTCTCAAAGTCAACCCTAGCCAATGCACACACATTAATTAAGCAAGAGCACCTTATTACATTAAACACACGCACACACACACACAAACTCAATGGGCACTATTATTTATCAAGCACACAGGCAACGGCACTGATTGTTAACAAGTCTGATTGATTAGACAGGCAAAATGGGCATCGGTTTCCATTCCCTGGGATTGCCATATGTTTCTTCTTAATCATCGGGAGGAGTGGAGGTGGAGGAAGAGGAGGAGGAGAAAAGGCTCTGTGGTGTTTTTTTTCTTGAGTAGCCAAACAGGTGTTGAAGCAAATCCTTAATGCTTTGAGTTTCGCCTCTTTTGAAGCAGATGGGGTGAGTGGATGAGTGGGAAAGGAGAGAGAGATTAGATTCTAGCCTCTCATTTTCTCTGGCCTCAGGTCAAGAGCTCCAAAGAAGACTTGGCTATTAATCGTTAAAATGTTCATTTGATGTGAAAAAGGGACACCCCCTCCCTTAAGACCAAGAAGTGAAATAATGCTTCCCTTCACCAATATCATGTTCCTTTCTCTCTTTGCACACCGAGAAGTGCCAGGGGAGAGTTCTTTTATATTCTTAAGAATATAAAACAAACTTCATCTTAGGCCCCTAAGGGGGAAAGGCTCAGGGGGTCAGGTTGGAGACAGTGGTGTGGTTCATACGCAATGCTTAACCATGGTTAACACAAACCATAGTTAACACTGAAATGTCTGGCAGAGAACTGCTTAAACTTTGGTTTATTAATTTACCAAATAGTTAAAAGCTCCAGGAAGAACAGATGAGCCTCGAGAGTGGTTTGCAGCTCTTCAGCTTTGGGGTGAACTACAGCTAAGCCCCCAGGCTCTGCTCATACTCCTAACCATGGCTTACAGTAATGTGTGAAACAGGCCAGTGTGAGATTTTTTTCCTTTTAATCCCTCAGCTAAGAGTACAATAAAACAAAGATACCACAAAGCCGTCGCCTCGTCACCCGAGAGTCTCAAATCAGGGCCCTGTGCCAAAGTATGCAATTCTGAGAACAGAGAGCAAAAATGCAGGTGTTTTAACACGAGAGGGCAAACACTTTATTGCAGTAACTAGGAAATGCCACCTCCAATAATTACACATTCATCCATTTACAGCAATATGATATGATTGTGGAAGGAGGGGCAGAGGGCTTGTCAAAAGACTGCTCAGATCAAAAGGGCTCCCTTAGGTTTAAACATGGAAATTAACACTGCTGCGTTAAAATGTTCTAACCCCACTAAGTCAACTTTCATTTCTCTGCAACGTTTTACTGCTTTTGCATGAGCCTGGGCAGTGACCTGTGCTTTCAAGCTAATGCATGTTACCTTCGCAGCTTTAAGCCTCCCCTTTTTAAAACACCCTTTCTGTTCTTCCCTTCCATGCAATTTCCATTAGCCAGATGAGGTAGGAAGCGAACAGGAAGAGAATGCAAATTATCATCTGTGTTACCTCTCTGGCTGAAAGTCACCTCCGTGACAAGGGGAAGAAGAAGCCGAGCCGGTTTTGGGTGCCCAGGTGTATGTCAGAACCTGCAACTTCTAACATTCGGATTTGTTGGACGGCCACAAGTTCAAGTATAATGAAAGGTTCAAAGTAATGCACTTGGCACACTCTCCTTGTGTTGAAGTGTTGTTTTCACAGGGAAAGCATGTCATACAAAAACAAGAGATAATGCTATTCAGCATCTAGTTTGGCGGCGGGGGGGGGGGGGAGAACAGGAGCCCTCACAAACTGCAGTGCACTGCAAGTAATTTTTGTTTTTAGCTATCTGCTGATTTTAATTTGTTTTGATTTTTAAAAATAATAAGCATTATATACATTACCAAGCAAGGACTTCGATCTGCCACTGGGAAGCCGTCAAGAAGTGGCAAAGGGACACCACCAGGCAACCTCAGGTTGCAGGACCCTCCGGCCATGAGTTTGTACATGAGTTTCACAGAAGTCCTGCCCAACACCATCTGATTTATAGCTAACTAAGTCTGTTAGCCTATGTGTCTTGCCTGACTAGCTAGTAAAGGTAAAGGTAAAGGGACCCCTGACCATTAGGTCCAGTCATGGCTGACTCTGGGGTTGCGGCACTCATCTCGCTTTATTGGCCGAGGGAGCCGGCGTACAGCTTCCGGGTCATGTGGCCAGTATGACTAAGCCGCTTCTGGCGAACCAGAGCAGCGCACGGAAACGCCATTTACCTTCCTGCCAGAGAGGTACCTATTTATCTACTTGCACTTTGACATGCTTTCGAACTGCTAGGTTGGCAGGAGCAGGGACAGAGCAACGGGAGCTCACCCTGTCATGGGGATTCGAACCGCCGACCTTCTGATCAGCAAGTCTTAGGCTCTGTGGTTTAACCCATAGCGCCACTAGCTAGTGCAGATTATTAATTAGCTAGCCCCCTCTTCCAATACCCCACATTCTTCCAAACAATGTCTAACACAAAAGAAGGTCAGAAGGTACCCTGCAATTATCACTTATGCCGTCCACCAGATTATACATTAAAGGCTGCTCTCAGCCATCAAAGAGCAGAACAAGAGATAGAGGGGAAGTAAAAAGAGGCAGGAAGAGGTAACGGTAAAGGACCCCAGGACGGTTAAGTCCAGTCAAAGGCAATTATGGGGTTGTGGAGCTCAGATTTCAGGCCGAGGGAGCCGGCGTTTGTTCACAGACAGCTTTCCGGGTCATGTGGCAGCATGGCTAAACCGCTTCTGGAGCAACAGGACACTGTGACGGAAACCAGAGCACACAGAAATGCCGTTTGCCTTCCCACTGCAGCGGTACCTATTTATCTACTTGCACTGGTGTGCTTTTGAACTGCTAGGTTGGCAGGAGCTGGAATAGAGCAACGGGAGCTCATTCCGTAACCAGGATTTGAACCACCGACCTTCCAATCAGCAAGCCCAAGAGGCTCAGTGGTTTAGAACCACAGTGCCAACCTCATCCCTGGCAGGAAGAAATGACCATGTCAGATCACTAAACTCCTCGAAATACAATTGTCTTCCAGATAGATTGCCCCTACAGTGAGGGACTGAACCTGAAGCCTTCTGCAATGCAAAGGGAGGGGCTCTACACCACTGAGCTACAGCCCCATCAAACATTAGATATGACTCTTACTGTGATGGCTCCCTGAGATATATTTGCAAGCTAGAAAAAAAGGAGCAGCCAGGCAGATGAGTGGCAGGTGCCAATCCTACCTAGAATAAAACAAAACTGACTGGTGTGAGGCTTAAATGCCTTTCCCAACAACTGCTTATTTCAAGGCTTTGTCTCCTCCGCTTCTCAGGGGTTTTTCTTTTGCCTCCATCATCACAGATTGCTCAGCACTTCTCAGCTCCCCGACCCCCCCCCCCTTAAGTACCTGGAGACAAGAGGCAGCTGGGAGCAGGCAAGTGGAAGTTACAGCTTGACAAGAACCAAGAAATGCAACTGCTGTTATACCAAAAAGTAGTCATAGTTTGCAAGGCAGAAGGTGAGAATAAAACCTTGGCTTTTTTTCTTTTTTTTTTAAGGCAAGAGTTTCTGATTCTGGTAAAAAGCAGTCTCTTAATATGCCAGTGTGCCA